GAGAATCTAAAATAATAAACTTGATTCATTTCAGATTTTAAAGATGCTAGTGAAAAGCTAAATTGTGAGAGAAAACACTCATAGCCGTCATTGACATCCACCCTAATGTGCAATATCCCCTTTACAAAGTGGGATGTAGTACAAAGTGGGATGTTAATAACCATTCCTCAAGTGAACATTTTTATGTTAATAGCCAGCTGAGGCCAACTATAATTTTGCAAATTAAAGCTGTTTTTTTTTAAAGAACCAGCAAAAAATAAAGGTTCCATCTCCTTAATGCTATATTCATTTAGGAAGCAGAGTTCCAGACAAGGCTTTATAGTCTGATTAAAAACAAAACTGTCGAAGAAGTTTTAAAAAAGTTTTAAAATGTATCCTTTAAAATGATTAGTAAACTTTGGTATAATTCCATTTTTTAAAACCTTTTCAACTACAGAAGTAGAGTTTATGGGTATAACTATACTAAAAGCATTTTACCTCTTTGGGATGATGTTGGCTGTTTTGTGGTTTTGTTTTTTTGTAAGCTTTTTGGCATTTGTCTTGATTGTCCTTTATGTGATCTTGAGCAAAGGTTTTTGTAGATGTTCATTCTTGCTATTCTGTCTTTTCAGTGTCAGATGTTTGTTTCAGTGGTTGTTGAGGTACAACTGTATTGATTTTGTGTCCTCGGTTGCTTTTTGTTCTGCAGACACGTGCTCCCGAGTCAGAAGGGCCTTGCACTGGAGCCAGGGATGCTGTTAAGGTTCTCCCGTTTTTCCATGTTCACACCATTGCCTGACGTTTTGCATTGCCTCACGTTTTCCCCGCTTCCCTTCCAGTCAGCCATCATAATCATCTTTTGTTTTTCTCCATGACATGAATCTGCCATCAGTTAATTTGGGTTTCCATTGCTTTTATTTATTCATATATTTTTGTTTTCCTTCGTCCATTCTTTTTTGTACAGAGTTCACATGAGACTCTGAATGTAGTGGAGGAGAAGAAGCGGGCAGAGGTTGGGAAAGACGAAAGAGTAATCACAGAAGAAATGAATGGTAAAGAGATCTCACCTGGGAGTGGTCCTGGGGAGATGCGTAAGGTGGAGCCTGTGACACAAAAAGACTCCACCTCCCTGTCTTCTGAGAGCAGCAGCAGCAGTGAGAGTGAGGAGGAAGATGTGGGCGAGTACCAGCCCCACCACCATGTGACCGAGGGCACCATCAGGGAGGAACAGGAGGAGGATGAAGAAGAGGTGGAGGAAGAGCCCGGCCGAGCAGCCAAGGTAGTAGAAAGGGAGGAAGCAGTGCCCGAAGCCAGCACAGTCACACAAGCAGGTGCCAGTGTAATCACAGTAGAAACAGTGATCCAGGAAAACGTAGGTGCCCAAAAGGTATCTGGAGAGAAGAGTGTAAATGAAGGCGGTCTTGAGCAAGACGTGGGAGAAGAAACAGAGGAAGAGCAACATAAAGTTAACGGAGAGGTGTCCCATGTTGACATTGATGTTTTGCCACAAATTATTTGTTGTTCAGAGGTAAATGGGAGTCCCGAGTGGGACCTAAACTCTAGGGCTATCTCTCAGGTGGGGGACTCCTGCCTTTCTTCTCCTCCTGTCCTCCCCATTCTCCTTCAGCTTTTTCAGCAAGAATCTAATTTTTATCTCTCTTGGGAGGAAGGGGGAAAAGCACCACTTTATGGATTCTCTGCCAGCTCAGCTCAGTTCATGGTTTCTAGCTTCCTTACTGCAACTGGGTCACCTCTAGGGTAAACTTTTCTACAACCACCACATCATTTTTTCCTTCCTTTTCACGGTTAAAGTTTTCTTTGCATGTTTTGGTTGTTTCCAACTGTTTTGTCTTTAGTTGCACTGCTTCCTCACACTAAATGCTTTTTTTTTGTTGTTGGTTTAATTACAAAAATATATATGTAATGTTGAAAAAAAATGGTCAGTGCGAGTGTGTGTGCTACTATTATGATTGGGCTTGACATCTAGGCTCATTCTCTTACTCTTCAACTTCAGATTTTTAGAAATGACAGCAGGATCTGATTGCCATGGTGCTCTGAATGCAGTATCCGGCAGTGATGAGAACATTATTTCTTGAATGCCACTGTGATTTCTGTTTTCAGATTCCAGGGATTACATGCTTTGGTTAAGAGCCTTTTCTTTCTTTCTAGGCAGCCAGAGGCTAGACTGTATGATAGGAGAATGCCCTTCTCTTTTCATTCTTCCAAATGTCAGTTCTGGATTATTTGCAAGTTGATTATATGTTTTGTGGGTTATCTACATTGGATATGAGTCTTTTCCTTTTCCTTGCAAGAAAGAACCTTTCAGATTCAGATTAAATCTTGGTTACTAGGTACAGTGCCTCTCATTTGAGAGTTAGGCTGAGGGCAGGTTTACTTCCATTGTAATGTTCTTGATTCTGATATTAAATGCCCACAATATAGGGATTTTTCTATATTTTGCCCTTTGATAAGGTGGAAAATCTTGAAGTTACTTTGTCTTGAAATAGTTAAGTGAATTTTTATTGTTGCTTTTAAACTTCCTATTTCACTTCAGAGAAGATATTTTAAGAGTCTTTGAATGCTTTGGACTATTATTTTCTGCATTTAATATATGATTGTTCCTCTTTAAATAGTCACACCCATTGGGAATTTTCTCGCAAAGAAAATACTGTTGTATTTTGGTAGTGGTATAGTCTGATGTTGTATTAAACATACATGCTCAGCAGACTACAATATTGTTAAGCCATAGAACCTCTCCTTTAATATTTTAAATTATTCAAAGCATTAATGCAATATTAACAGAATAATTTTAGATACAGCATTTTAACTCATGTAATACAGAAGAAACATAAGTTTTAGACAAGTATAATTGAAAACAATCATACTTGAAGATAT